TCCTTTCGATGTATTTGAATACAACTGCCAGATATGTTAAAATTTTGACTGGCGTAGTACGAGCATGATCTTTGTCTGATGTTTAGATTAACAGAAATGTGTCTGTTAATTGAGGTCAAAAATTGTTACCGAGGCGATTTTGATTATGTGCTTAATGGAACATCTTTCATAAACAGATAAGTAACTGAAATAATAGAATCAGGTCAACCGTATACATGTATATACGACACTTGAAAGTATATACGTTTTAAAAGGCCAAGATAAAGCATATTGCATATAAATAGTATTGTCAAGAAACAGGCTGTTTTCATTTACATAATTGTTTCAATTACGAAATATTTGTTAGTTTGGGTTAAATGTTGTGACTCCTTTGTTCATTTTATACAAAAAAAATGAAATCCTTTAATATTGCTGTTTTTATGCCGAATATGGATCATAAACGTCATAGTTATGCTATAATAATAATGAATTTCATTTTTTGACATTCTAGCAATCCGTCTTTTGCATTTTTTCGTTCAATGTCTTATTGATTAGTCAGGTAATTAGGACGAGATTTCCGAAATAAAGATTATTGTGCTAAGGATACTTATGGCTTGCAAAATGACATAATTTACCAATCTAAATAAAAAAGTGAAAATTTAATAATTAAAATAGTGCGTGTTGCACTTGTTTCATTATGGCCATCCCTTTTTCTTGAAAATTTAGATAAGTTACAATTGTGCATAATTAAAAATTTAAGAAAATATACAGTAGTTCTTTAACAAATGTCGTCTAACATATCGGATTGTTCAAATACTATAAATGAAACACAAATACTGTGATATATTTATAAATATAATTTATATATTGCCTGTACACTAATTTATAAACACTTCTTATCCAATTCTTAAAGGCATTCATTTCATTTAATTACTTAACCACTAAATATTATAAAATCCATACCCTAAATAAGACTTTTTAAATTTATTTTGCCATTACGTAGGATATATTATGATACCCAAAAATAATGAATACATTATAGAATCCCTATATTATTTATAACTTGAGATATAAAATAACAAATTTCTGTTGACCAAATGGTAAAATATTATTTGTTTAGTGGAACCTTTCATATAGTCATAAACTGGGTTTGTTTTAGCCAACAGATTACATTGGGTGTGAATGTTCATGCAATTGTGGGGTGCTCCTAGTGTTTGCGTGTAGTGGGTTTTGACTGTACTTCATTAATTCTATATTAACTTATTTATTTTTGCGTATTTCTGTCCTGGTCTATTCTCATGGCAGGTTTTTGCTCATGTGGGAAACGCCAGGAGAAATGTACAACGTTTGAGCATCTATACCATTGCCTAACCGTGATATATTCGATTTTTTTCTAAAGTCAAGTTAAGTTTCTATGGATTATACTCGTACATATAATGTTTGGTTTGTTTTTTCCTCCGTGTTCAATGTCTGCTGCGAATGGCCGAAGATGTTCTTCTTCATTTTCGCGCCTGTTTCATGACTGCGGAAAACGGACTGGTTCATCATTTTACTAGCCTTACCACTTTAAACCTTTGTAGAAATATATTAATGCCTGCTAAACGAATATGCATTTGAAATAATGGAGGATTGTTGATGCTTCGAACTACTTACACACGCCTTAAGGTTTGTTGCTGTGTGCCTGGCGCACTATCTACAAATGTGACTGACCGGGTCATCGTGTGTGAAAGTAAAATCGCTTTTGTCTTCCGCGCGTTATGTGTTGGTGGACTGGCTATCCAACCGTTTTTTATATACAGTTGGGACATTTTATGGCGTCCTTTTGTTGATAGCAAATGTACTTGTTTATTAAATGCGTATTCTGCCAATTGTATTCGAAATCTGAATAAATGGGTGTTTGGATTAGTGAGGTTAATTTCTACTGGCTTAACGTATGCACACTACTAAGGTCGAGAGGGAAGTGCTTCTCAAAAATCGATTTCCATAAAACGGTTTTGTTAGGTTTAAGATACCGTTGTTGCGAAGTGTGATTTATAATTTCTCGTATCTGACTGGATTCCGTGGTTCGGTGGATGGGTTTATTTTCGAGTGCTGGAGTGATGTGATTTAAGTAAAAGTTGTGCTAGGGATGCGGTAGCCAGCTGTTAGAAGGTCCTGCAAAGGTGTGATGTTATCTTGCTTAAATCTAGTGCCCTTATTGCGTTTTCCAAATGAATTCGAGTATCGATTATTATTATCCTGCGCATTCCTATTTAACGATGTCAAAATAGCCTTCATCAAACGCAACACCAATGATGTGTATCTGACTCGAGTATTCTATTGATTTTTTTGCACTGATTGCAATTCTCAATAGGCTGTTAGCAGCACTTGACCATTAATGTCTTGTCTTTTGGAAATTGTGATCGTTAACTGCTAGCTATTGATATGAGGCCCTATAAGCAGGGCCGTTGTCTTTTCTTCTCTTTTTTGCACTTTCACTTGCTTTATCATCGTTATTCATATTCTGATGTGCTAAAGGGACAGTCTCCTAATGGAGATAAGGGATCTTCTAACATATCATAATCTAGCTCTAACAAACTTAAAACTTGAGCGGTTTTCTATGTTAATTTTACCGAGATTTAAGGGAACCAGGGTACCTTTTCTATTGGTTGTAAAGGACCTCAGTATTCCTAGTTATTAGAAGATCGTTGGATAGAAATATATTGTATGTAACAAATGGATATTAATTTGGTGATAGCACGCGTCAACTGTTCAAAAACAATTGTTAGAAATTAATTAATTCTTCATTTCAATTCCATACTTTATATCATTTGGTGAGTTGGCTGGCATTAATAACCATAATAATATGCATTAAAATCGGGGCTCAGCTGTTCATTTAATAATTATTTGTAGTGCGGAACTGATTCTGTGAATTCTGAGCATTTGAAACCTAATTGGAGGACACTATTGAAATTTATGCAATAGAATTTAAAAGACATAAGAAAAAATGAATTCGGTGAATTTCGATATCATAAAATACATTTGCTCATGAGATCTAAAGACTCTGAAATTTTTTGTTGTCGAATTAGCGAATTAAATCAAGAATATAAGAAAATATTGAGGCATACTATACATAGATTTTCAAATGCAGATTTAATAACAACTGTAAATGTATTTCCTATAAATATGTGGAAAGCGTACTCGCGAAAGCTCTAAATTATTAATGGATTGAAGGGCAAATATCGTCCTCATAACTTATTCTACGTTTTTTATAAGAGACAAAAAAGTGTGCAGGAGCAACAATTAGCAAAATTTTGCTTAAGTTATTTCATATCTTAATGTCGTGAATATATAAATTTACATTGAGGCCTATTTTACATAAGCTTAAAAACTAGCATCGACATACTGAAGGTAATCAAATTGAGAAATGGCGGATTGATAATAAAAAATGTCTTAAATAGTCTTAATTAAACCCGAAGATTCTTATAGGGCTGCACCGTCTTATACTTCAGGTTGTCATTTTGCGAGATAACTGAAATAAGTAAACTTTAACCCTTTCTGAGCCTTGTTATTTCGCATTACAACACACATTAACATTATGTAAGTTTATCAAGATCATGGCAAACTATGTTGCTTTCAAGCACTTGCTGATGTCTTTAAGAAGAACAGTGTTTATTTATTTAAAAGTCTTGTTTATGTATTCAATTGAAAATATAACTGAGTTTAAATCATTAACACAAATATTTTCTTATTATAAGAGAAGTTAAGGTAAGGTAGTTATTTTGGTAAATGAACATCGGCATCTAAGTTATAAAATGTTAATTTTCATATTTATTACAGGAAATTAGAATACAGAATGTAGTTTGGTGGATGATAAAATGAATAAAAAGTGACTGAGCAATTGGATCTATAGTATATATTTCATTTGTAAATTAAAATTAATAATAATTTGATTAAGGCCTCAAATAAAAAAATTTATAGAAATATCCGCATTTATATTTACTATTTTATCTTTAACTCGGTAAATCAGATTCTTACCGGTATTTCTTTAAACGACCTTCCTATTTAAAGTCATCCGTTGGCCCCGCCTGCCATTCCTCTGTGGCGTGACTATGGTGTATCTGCGTGGTTGTCTTTCCGGTTTTCTGTTGATCCCGCCTCTGGTAGGGTGAACGTTTCTCCATTTTCACCATGATACTTGTAACGCCCCCAAAGGTACGTTTTCGTATTTTGATGCAACATGATTACACTTCTCTTGGCTGTCTGATACATGCTGATAAATTCGCAATGACTATTTCTAAATATGCTTCCTTAATTTTAGATTTGGGCGTTTCAATCTTGGAGATGTTTTCGTTAAGCTTTCCGTAGTAGGAAACTTGCTCTCTATGTCGCGATAGCCCATTCTTTGACATCAAGGTTACCATCTACATGGTTCCCTCGACTTTTTCGTAAAATTCGACCGAGCGAAACTTGGACTCAGCACGGATTATACGAATTACGAAACCGCTGGAGTAATTGAAACTCATGACTAACTATTGTTCTTAATATAAACTGTATTGTCTCGTGTTATTAAAATTCATAATTGATAATAAAGTTGCCAGGCTTAGACGTGGCCTAGCTTTTGCCGTTGACTTCATTGGTGGGGTTATAGTGTAATGGATACTTGACACTTATTTCAAATTTGTCAATTTTGTAGGTGGCACGGCCCATAATTGTATTCGTGGAAATTTTTTTAGCGTCGTTTGTGGAGAAAATCTTTCATAGTAGCCTGGGTCAATGGTGTTCCATTTGTGTTGTTTAAATGATCCTTAAGGCCTACTTGATAGTATTGTTTTACTGCCCAAGTTAGAACTAATAGCAATACTAGTAAGAGAAGAGTATATGATCACGAGTCTTGATGTGTCAACGTTGTTATTATTCAGTGCCGGTAAATAGGAACTATTCTTATAAATAGAAAAGAGTAACAAAAAGGTGTATAGGGCCATTGAGAAGGGGGAGGCAAAACCAATGACGTTTATCACAACTAATTGCTCTCATCCGATCTAGTCAACTTTGGGATATCCCTCAGGGAAGTTGCATTGCCAGCGCCAAGCATCCTCACACATTTCAGGAAGTGCCTTTTCAGCCTTCCAACCAAGCTCCTTCTCGGCTAGAGTGGTATCGGCAAAGGCCACAGCGATATCACCTCCACGTCTGGCATCATAGCGAAACTGTATATGCCTTCCTGATGCCTTTTCCATGGCCTTGATCAACTCTAAGACAGAGTATCCTTGTCCTGTGCCCAAGTTGTAGGCCTAAAGAGGGACACAGGGGTGAAGTGATTAGTACGCCTCAGTGGAAAAGAGAAGGAGTCGATTTACTACCTTACAACCTTTGAACGTGGTCAGATGCTTCATGGCTGAAACGTGACCTTTAGAGAGATCAACGACGTGGATATAGTCACGAATACCTAGTAGAAAGAGAAGACATCAATGAACGTTTATCAGCATTGGGAAATGTTGTACTAAAAACGTGTACTATTGATATCCATTGAAGCAGGATTAGTAGTACACTCTTCATACTTTAATTATCTTTCTAAAGTCTCTTCTTAAAATCACATTCTTTCAATATGGATGAATAAGGAAAGATCTCTGCTTCCTCTTAAATTAGGGATATATTTCTGTGTTAAAATAATCAACGATATGGTATATAATCTCAGCTCTAATTACCCCCTATTCAATTGCTGGTTCCAGTTTAGATATCACTATTTAAACCAAAATAAACCTGATATTCGTGTCGGAAACTGTAGATAACTGAAAGAGTCACAATAGAGACATCACTAAAGTGTCCATATTTGACCGAAGCATCATCCAATTTCATATTTTACGAATTGAGACAATTTTTACGAACCAGTGCCATCAGGAGTCTTGTAGTCATTTCCAAACACGACAACTTCCTTCATAAGACCGTAAGCAGTTTTCGTGAGGCATGGGAATATGTTCTTTGGTGCTGGCCCCGCATCTTCACCAATGAGACCAGATTTGTGAGCTCCGACAGGGTTAAAGTAGCGAAGATTGATGATTGACCATTCTGGGTCCGACTTTGCCAGATCCTACAAAGCGACCAAAAAGTCGAGCAACTAAAACTGGTTAATATTACTGTCAAGTGGAATTAAGTAGTGCTCCACTCACTTCAAGAATCATTTCACCAATATATTTGGTACGACCGTAGGGATTGGCACAGTTACCAATTGGGGTATCTTCTGTGAGGGGCAACTTGGAAGGATCACCGTAGACAGTGCAGGAACTGGAATAGACCAACTTCTTCACATCATTAGCAGACATTACCTATTCCGACAAAAGGCAAAAAAATTAACAGTACGAATGAGATTGATTTTAAAGGTCGACTTTAAGACCATTACCTCTAACAAGTTGACGAAGCCAGTAATATTGTTTTGATAGTATTGAAGAGGAAAGTGGACGGATTCACCAACGGCTTTGAGGGCCGCAAAGTGAATGACAAAGTCAAATTTGAACTAAAACATAGACAAAAAATTTTCCACAAAATTGAACAAGAGAAATAATTTCATTAAGTAAGGTAAGCATCACCATTCATTTTTGTTATCATTTTGATATATACCCCAATTCACTGCCAAAATTCTATTTTGACAGTTCTCCAATTTTCAAACAGTAAAGCGCAAACTTTCACCTGATTTGCGGTAGAACATTTAGGAACAAGAGTTCAAATCCAATAGCAATATGGGTCACATCTTTGCATATGCGAGGACTTATAGAAGCTAAATGACCCGAAGATTTTGCTACATTCAGAATTATGATATCCAGACACCATAGAAGAGGTTATTCCAATGAATGCAAATATTCATTTTCTTAACTTTTCAAAGAACTCTCAAGGTGTAGACAATCAAAATGGCAACTTTAATTATTTAGAATTCACCTAGTCATTTTCATGAGGAGTATACAATATTCGTGTTTCGCTTGTTGAACAACAATTAATTATTCTAAATCAATTTATAAAACATCCAATATTCTGAGCGAAATTCCTACTAGTCAAAACCCAATATTAAAAGAACACGAGCCGGAAGTACTTTTGTCGTGAAATCAATTGTAAACAGAAGATCATTTGGCAAAATTTGATAGCTAGAGCTTAAATGGCGAAATTCATCGGTCACTTTTTCAACGAAGCATCGCAATAAAGTTAATAAATTCTATTTCTATTAGCATAAGTAGACCAGGAGAAAATCGTCAATGTTAATTATTTGATTGTACTTTGACATCTCAGCTGTATCGCATACTATGATTTGCCCTATTAAGTCCACCCCTCTCTCACAATCACCTAATTGAATCCAATTGAAATGTTTTTTTAATCGCTAAGGCCCCTCCAATGACCCAATTAGAACGTTTCCATTCGCCCTATCTCAAATCCATTCTTAACTCCCACCTCCTACGCATGCCTATAATCGATTCACCCTCTTAAGTAACGCCCTACATGACATGACACGCAGACAGACAAAAAACACCAAAATAAATACATTTCAATGCACAGATTGTTTAACCCTTTAACGGCTCCTTAGGACCGTACGGACCTCTTTTAAAATAAGCTATATTGGCACTTGACTCGTAACAGAAGGCGACATATATTCGTTTGAAACATGTTCAATGCGTGCCTATAGCCGTTGCCTCATACAACTAAAACTCACCATGTCGGCGGCGTCAGTCTGCTGTGAGACACGCGCGAGTGCGGTTGGGTGTATTTTTCAGAAGAATAACTCGGGCGTTAAAGGGACTAATTATTAGATTTCATAGATTGATAGAATTCTTTTTTTAAAGAAATAGATTATGAATAATTGTAAGCTCGTGAATTTATTCACAAGTCTGCAGTTACGACACATACTAGCAATTTTCAACTGCAGGCCTCGGCTATACACGTTTTTTGATAGTTAAATAGGTGATTTTGCCCATTGAAAGAGACAAAGGAGTGATAACATGATCACCAATCAATAGGAGTTTGACTCTATAGAGAGGGACCTAGGAGACAACTTTTGAAATTTGAACTTAGGAATAATGAGACACAAACTTTACTGGATTATAGCAATTAAGTAATTGGAGACACTAATGAATGAGGCATTTGTTCGATTCTAGATAATTTTGCACCCCTCCCTTTCCAACTTCTCTCGCTGTATTGAATCATTTGCCTTTGTATTGCGAGTTTAGACGCAAAGTAAAAATGATAAATAATTGAAAAAAATCAGATGGAGGTGAAGATTCTTACCTCATGGAAGAGGTTGGTTAGAGCATCCTTGTCCAGAAGGTCAATTTCACGAACTTTGAGACTTTGACCGACAATCTTCTCAAGGTTAGCGATGCAACCTACATGGAAGGAAAAAGATCATGAAGAATTTGCTTTTGAATCTTATGAAGGGTGGAAAGGGGATAAACAACTATATATATCACGATAGTCTGTCTTCGGAAGCAAAGGAATTCCGAAAATGGCTAACCTAAGGAGGAAAATTTCCAGAATTGCTCACCTCAAAATGACAATGACTTCAAATGCTTCTAGCTGCACGAAAAAAACACTGAACAAAACAAAATCTAAAGCATAAAACAGCAGCCTAAAATATCAAGATAAAAAATTCGCATAAAGTAAGAATGTCAACACAACTGCCTTCGAATTCTGAAAGCTAGAATCCGCTTATCCACAAAACGCAAATGGTCCGGATAGTGGAGATATGTGCACCAATAATCTCGATTACTGACAGACTAATTCCCACACCAACGAGGCATAATAACTCAAAGAAGGACATTTGCATAGTTTCATGCTTTCCGAAAGTGAAGGAGGATTCAACTCGGATTCATGGCACAAAGTAAATAATACATAAGCGAACATCTAAATACGGTAATAATCCAAGAGCGTAAGGTCAAAATAGTGTAATTTGTGGACTAATATGGTTTATACAATGTAAAAACATATAGGAAGAACTTAGACAATTGGCAAAAAATGAAAATAATAAAAGCACCAACCACACATACCCTTTCTTGCATTGCAGAAGCTGTCAAGAATGACCGTGTCGTAGCCAGCTTCAAGGAGTTCCACAATTGTGTGACTGCCGATGAAACCAGCACCGCCGGTTGTGAGAACGAGGGGTTTGCGATCAGTAGACATGACGACGGGACTGAAAGTGTAAAGGAAGGAATGAAGTGACTCTAATGCTCTACATAGTAAATATTGGTTCAATTAAAGTGCACACACACACGCAAGCACGCACGAAATGGCGGCGGTAATTGGTGGAGTTGAATGGGCGGAAGGCCAATAGAGATTTGATGACGTGTACAAAGCTAGCGCGCGTATTGCAAGGTGTAAGTCTTTATTTGATTAACCACTTCAAGATATACTTGATAGTGAGTTCTATTTAGGGCGTATTTAACTAAACTAATAAGTTGTAAGGATCAGGGGAGCAGGCATCTATGAAATTTAAAGTTGAGAGAACTAAAATTGGTAATGGAGACAAACATAACTAAAAATATCTCTTTTGAAAAGTGTCATTAGGTGCTATTGGCACTCAACTACCACCAAAGTTACGCTTCAACTGAATGGAATGCTCTTAATTATCCTAAGCTATGGCGACAAAAATTCACCACTCACAACTACAGCCATTATAAATCAAGACATTTTAAGTTTCATATTTCCAATTATAATTTAGAAATGGTAAAATGATCTAAAATAACTGATTTAAGTCGGCAGGTGCAGGGGTACTTTCATACGCTGGGTTTAGAAAGCATCCGACTGCTTTGATTAGTGCAAACTACTCTCAAATACATTTGTGTTGCGAAAAATAGGAAGAAAGAATTGAAATTTAGCTATACAGGCAAAGAACACAAAAGAAGTAAAGATTTTGATTAATTCATAATTTTAAGCGCTCAATTTAGATGAAAAAAAACATCTTATTGAATTGTACGAGCCCACTTCTGCTACGTTTAAGCCGAAAGCTAATGGAGATCCTGTAGGATCATCTTGGCTTCTCAAGCATTGAAAGCAAAAAAAGACTAGTTGAATATCATAGACAAACATTTGGCACAGGGTTGAGGCAACGAAGCGTGATATTAAATTTTGGAACGTGAACTGCCCATCTAGTACATCTTGTGCAATTCAAGTCCCAAAATCGAATGAAGTAGGATTCTCTGAGGACTTGAAGTTGATTAGGCCGATTTCGACCCCCTCTTCCTTATTAGTTATTGGACTTTCTGCTAATTGATTACAATTACAGCCCACAGTTAATAACCTAGCAATAATGGTAATACAATTGATTGAGATAGGAGCAAAGGGGACTGAGGGGAGAGATTATGGGCAATGAATACTAAAACCTGGACATATCACGTTCAAGAGTGAGTCAGGATTATATTTAAAGCCTATAAGCAGCGAAAAATTGGGAGTTGAAGGCTATAAATCCGGCTGTCAAAAGTGGTATTTACCGCTTAATACTGAAGTAATAATGACCTTAAAGGCGTAATGTTGATCCCATTATGCGGCAGACCCATAATTTATGAAAATCACAGGAAATAATGAATCCTAAAAGGCAAGAAATGCGACTAGAGTAATTGGATTAATCATAGGAAGTCGAGTATCAAGGTGTGCAAATTACTCTGTGTGGACTGCCTTAGTTAAATATCCGTGAACAATTATGAAAGACACATTAAATTCTTGACAAACACATCAGCTCAACGCTCAATCGATATCTAGATATGTGTTGAATATTTGATTCGTGGTTAAAAACCTAAACAACTTCCTCCACACCTTCAAGAGATGCATATTATCATCACTATGATAGCCAACGTGGCATACGAGAACGGTGACCAACACCCCAATGGCGTGCCAATAAACAAATGTACATTAAGTAATAGGCACACCATGAAATCTAGTTCATGGAATGCAAAGATGGCAGTGAACCAACACAGAGACAGTAGCACATATCAACGGAATTATCACTAAGAAATGGCTTTCAATGGAGTAGAGGAAAGATTAAGCAAATTGCAGGTAGACGCTTGAGTATAAGTCGAAATTCAAACAAGAACCACCTTATAAAAAAGATATGATAAACAATTGCTCAATTCGTAATTTTTGAGAAAGAATGGAAAAAGAACGACTTCAAAACAAAGCTTGGGGTTCATGGGAGAACCTGGATTGATTTTAAATTTATTTCACAAAAATAGGGACATAAGAAATCTGTTTAATTAGGGACACTAAAACAAATCAATATTAAAAGAAAGCTTCCGTAAGTATTCTGCACTTCACTCGGGAAATTTAAACACCAATACAACCCTTAACCTTAAGAGGAATCAAGTTTTAATATATTCGAAAAGCAATATCCTAATAATTGGATTCAACCATACACTAATCACCATGCCCAAATTACCCCAGGGAAAGGGTAAATATCCTGCAATTCTTATTCAAAATTCTGCAGCCTCAAAGCAAAGTTCGAGAGTTAAACTTACAGACTATAAAACTGTAAATTGGTCAAACAAACATTGCATAAGCCATGCAAGTAACAAGCAAAACGAACTTGCGACGAGGAAAGAAAGTTAGTTACAACATTGACACGCGTATTTTATTAAAATACATTTCAAAATACCATGCAGCACATGGTGTTAAAGGAATTAAGCGTCAATAGACTAGCTGTCTTGTGCATCTGAAGCAGTCCCAGCTTTTGATTGGCTCTCCTCAAGGTCATCATCGTCATCAGCTGCTTCTCCATCCGTGTCCTCTTCCTCATTTAAATTCTCCAAATCTTCAACCTCTTCTTCGTCCTGTCCAATATTGTCCACATCTTCTGATAGCAACGAACACGTTTTCTGAAATAAAATCGAGAAAAAGTGATATAGAAACATTGCTACTGAAAACAACATTAGTAGTGCGCGCATTTACAAAGATGAAAACTACTCAATTAATCAAATAGACTTAGTCGATAATAAACGCCGAAGTCTAATATTAAACGAATACAATTCGGGAGTTGGTTGATTGCTATAGGGACATAACGCCAAAATTTACCGTTTAATTGCCACAGATTTAAATATTTAACTATATATTCTTGATAACTTTTAAAAGGCCGCATAAATGTCGCTGTTGTAAAAATTCATAGCTGCCATCCAAGGCGGAAACTTTGAAACGTTCGATAGAAAACGGCGTACTTGAATTTAAATTAAGTATACCCCATCGTGTTTTGACTTCAATGAAGTCGAGAATGAGTACTGGGTTGAAGTTTGTGAAGATTTTACTGCTTATCAATTTCCGCTTGTAAAATTTTTGCTTCAAAATGAGTGGTAGTTAAAAATAAAAAAGAAAGATTAAATAACTACATGTGCAGAAGACGACGTATTTTCATTTGAAGAAGCCTTTGGAACTCCTGCAATGGATTTTTTCAAACTTTCTTGATGCGGACTTGGGGAGGGCTTTTCAGTTTGAACCTTTGAGGAAGACTGGGAGACCTTTTGAGGCGTATCAGCGCCGTTGACCTTATTCACAGTCGACTGAAAGGGCAAAAGGAACCAATAATTTGTAAGAACAAAACCTATGAGCATGTTGCGTAGAAATTACTAACTTCGAGATCTTCTGAAAGAATATCTGTCAGATAATCCTTCACGGAACGGCCTGGAGGATTCCAATTTTTGTAGAACTGATTGTTTCGTCGAGAGAGAACACGTAAAGCTCGCCACGTCCATGATTCCTGATTGCAACGTCTGCAAAGAATTCAATTCAAATGGCAACAGGAGTCAGCAAAAATGACAACTAAATACGGTAAACGTATTATCAAAAGAGTGAACAATAAGTGCGAAGAAATCACTATTCTAGGTTGATTTACTCAGAAATGTATGAACCCCAGATGGGCTTCCCACAGTCATGCCCGAGGATACCATCTCACTACTGCTACATTTACTACTAAAAGAACCATCGTGAGTTACAGGGATCAATTATGGCTTCGGAGTCTGAGAGAGAGTGCCTATATTGTAACATAGATTATCATTGGGAAAAGAAACATCACTAATATTTTAAAGTCATATGAATAAGTGAAGATAAAACGACTGAACCAAAGATAAGAAAATTACGAGAAATAAACATACTTATATTGTTCTTCCACTTTCTCATTCGGATCCATCTCCAAAATTGCATCCTGGAAATATTCATTCAGGTCGGAGGGCGCAAATAGACGACGTTTGTCACGGCAAGCTTCCAGATTATCAGGAGCCATGGACCATAGCTCATCCAGAGCTGGATTCCCAAATCGATACAACTTCTTGCCTGATCGTTCCATTAGAGGGTTGGTCCTTCGCTTCCTATAAAACCAAATTCAATGAACAGCTAACTATTTATAATAAGGCTAAAATCGGATAAAAATTAAAACAAATACTACTACTAAATAATAAGCAAATTTGGAAACAACAAAAACCTTGGATTAAGGGTAGATTTTTCTGGTTCTTTGATGAAAGATGGACAACCCTGATTCTTCCAATCGTTCCAATGAGCTTCTCGTTGAAGAACGTGGCTGATAACTGGTTCCGTGACGTCATTTTTTGAGACGGCATCTCGTCTAAGTAACTCAAATATCGTGGCTTCATGTTTTTGGATCCATTGCTTTTGTTGTTCATCTAATCGCTGACTTTCACTAAAGGTGAGTAAAAGAATAAAAGCGAGGAATCGTAAAGATTAGCCCTAATTCAATGTATAAAACAAAAAAAGAGAGATCAGAGCATCAGCCATGATTTCAAGATCAACACAATCTCTCATCGTGAAACTTTGAAGTGACGATAGCCAATGTTGAGTAACACATAAATACTTTTGGCGCCAGTAATAGATTGTAATTTAGTCAGCGAATGTACTTTAATCTGGATAGGAACATGAACAAGAAAAAAACTTTGAACGTTTATTAAAAGAAAACAAATTGAACCATAAATATATTAAATTTGATATTATAGTGCCTATAACGCTAAAAAATAGAAGATAATTAGGACCAAGTTACTAAAGAATCAAACAATTTACAAATATACGCATCGGGAACCGTTTTGCCTACCATAAAAATAGACTTTCGAAGGCTAAAATAGCATATACGAAATTGGATCTATGGAAAGTTCACCTTAGCTGATTATTAATAAAAATCCAGTAGAACCAAATAAAGTAATATGGATTAGAAGTGAGTTCTCTTGGAGTACTAACAAGTAAATTCAGGATTGAAAATAAAACATGGCGAAAATGAAAAATAACTCACGTTTTGAACTTCACTTGGGCAGTGAGATACTGGAAGATGATTAAAAGTTGAGTAAGAATGTATCGACGGAAATGGCGATCCATTAACTGCAAATCTAGCAGCTAAAGAAAATAAAAAATAGTAACAGACAAGTCTACCATTGATAAAATAGGTATAAACAAAGTAAAACTAGCAAAGGCGGGCGCGAAATCGAATAACTTTCGTGATATTGAGCGACTGATATTTTTCTGCATACATTTATTAAAGGAAACACAGGAAGGACCTAATTTTCTAAAATTGAATCACTTATTTTTTTGTAACTGCCATATCGACCTTCAAGTAGAAAGGAAAGAAGTGTTAAATAATTTCAATTTTGGTACTAAACCGTGAAATGAATAGTCAATAATAGAAAACTCCAAAGACCATTTAGCTTAGTGGAAAGGAAATTGAGATGTGATAAATTAGTATCCAAAAGAAACACAAAGTAGAAGTCAACTAAGAAGATAAAGTAGAATGAATGTTATGGACCGACTTTTCTTCTTAATGCAAACCTAAAAATTAACTGATAAGCTTATAAAAAACTTCACCGATTTCAAAAAAATATTTAAACAGAAAAAGGTTTACTATAAATAATTGGACTTAAAAGATGGTAAATGGCCTAAATTTACAAAGTAAATATCAAGTGTCCATATTTAAATATAAGAATGCATTTGGACTTAATTTCAATAACAATAAAAAGGAAATCGTCACCTTTTCACTGGTAAGGTACATTGTGAATTCATTCCATTGCGATTCTTCACTTCCACCTGGAGCAAGACGGATACTCTGAAAAGTCGAAATAACACAATCGGAACATTCCACGAAACTGAGCCAACCATCCCGAGTATAGCAGATAGTAGGCGACTTCAACAAATCCTGCAATTTCCAGAATTTTCTATACAAATCTGCATTCACTGGAGTAACACAAGCTTGAGCTTTTGAGGTGCTATCTGAGTCATCTTTAGTCGTTGTTAAAGCATGGAAGAGACTTTCATCCGGTTCGTTACTATAGGAAACCTCCTTATCAATGTTAAAGTTTGAGGTAAAATTTAGACCCGACTTTTCGTTCAGAGGAAAAAGGGAAGTGAGAAACAATTGAATTCGACCACAAAAAACAGTATTTTGCGACTTTGAAAGTCGACGAAGTAGATCATTGCACATGCGAAGAAGAATGTTGCGACCCGAGCCAAAAAGAGAAGCCTAAAACAAATTGAGTAGTAATGCACAAACATACATCTTTAAGGGCTTTGATAGTGTCCTCAAGAAATTGAAAATTTTCCTCAGCTTCAGCGATTGGTTTTGTGTTGATAAGATCGGAGATCAAAAGGAAAGGGGTGGAAGCAGAGCATATTCCTTCTACCGCTGACGATACAGATAACTGAAGTAAGGATCGCACTTCCGACATTAGTTCATTGTTATAAAGTAGGGCTAAAGTGCGTTCTCGAAAAGCAAGATCAATAACGGCTTTAGTTTGGTCGGGATTTAATACTTTAATTGAATCACTAAGATTCTTCAAAGCAGCCAGAGAGACATTTGAGGGACAATCACCAAGAAAGTTTTGAACAACTTTAAGAGATGCTGTAAATTCATTTGACATAATTTAATCAGCGATAGGTAGATCTAAATTTCAACCATAAGAAAGCTTTTAAAAGGTAATAGGTGGTTCTTAATTCGAAAGAAAACAAACATACACAAATGCAATAGGCAATCCACACATAAGCAAATGACCCATATATAAGGTCTAACTATGATTGGACAGTTTTATATAATAAAGTAAATAGGATTTAGCAGAGTTTGCTGACTCTTTAGTTAACACAAATTTTTAATAATATAGGTGTTATTTAACATCGATTTAAAATAAAAGCAAACCTATAGATGTTTTGCGTTTCGACAGTGTGCATATTAAAATAGTTTATTTTAATTTCAATATTTAAGCATGGGGTGTGCGATAGACTTACCTCCTCGTGGTGCACCCTGGGCAACGTATACTCATACGGCAAAAAAGTCTATTAACCGGCAGTTGACTTCTGACTTCAAACTACCGTGACCCCACTCTATGTCATGTTCGACTACTTCCACAGTACTCACCTCACCTCTTTCTACCTTTGTGTCTGCCTATTTTACATCTTTGAAACACTCTTCTGTCTTTTTCACCTTGATGTTCCTTCCTCTCTGTGAGACCTGAAGTCAACCAAAGGGCTAATGATAGTTATTATTAAAACGCCTGCCATTTGATATAAATATTTAAGCATATATGAAGCATACTAGCTTTTGGTTTAGTAAGAAGTTG